GGGGGGGGCTCATGCAGCAAGAGGTGGTATAGTGGTGCAGCAGCTTGCCTTACGAGCAACAAAACAACGCAAAAACAAAAAGTTGCACACGCAGGCACCGGAGGAGGCAACGCACTCTGCGCCCCGCCAAAATGATATCGTAGGATATCAAAATACACGCCACGCTCGCACACTATCAGTTTCAAACATCTCTCTACCCTTTTCCCCCGCCCCTGCACCTGACACCCGAGCCGAGCATCTACCTCCTCGCCCTCCGCTCGCCCCTCTCTCTCTACCGCACCCTGCGTCCCCCTCATAATCAACTGGCCAGCAAAGGTCCTATCCCTGCCGGCCACGCTGGCGGAACGGACTGGAACCGCTCCAGGAATATGAGCAGCCCAAAGCGCCAGCATAGGTCTCTGTAGGAGGTCCCCTGGTCCCCCGGCCCCCATGTCCGTCCGAAGCGAGGGGTCAGGGGTCCTGCACGACACTACGCAGCCGGACTTCCATTCACGAGGTTCGTGGAAGACGAGTCGTGCTGCGCAAGGCACAGTCCGGCCGAAAGGAACGCCCACGCGATGTAGCGCAAACAGACTCACACTCGGACACACCTGCGGTGCATACCTATACACAGGTGGGACTGGAGGAGGGTGACACCATACCGACATCACGCGGACGCACTGCAGGGGGCCGGGAGGCAGGCTCGGCGGAGGCAGCGGGGCCGGCTGGCTGTGACGCCAAGATATATCATGGGGCCGACCGACCGGGCCACGCCGCGCCACGACACCTTCCACTCACACGGGGCAATACGTTAGCAATGAAAGCCACGGCTGCTGGCTCTGCTGCTGCTGCCGTCGGAAGTAAATTACTACACAACACAATGAGACAGGGCAAAGATGGAGAACAAGCCATACTGCCCTAGGAAAGATAGAGAAACCATATCGCAAAACTCGCTAGCAAGAAGAAACCACGCAATCGTAAAATGCAGAGAAAGCAACAAGGAGAAAACAAAACGAAACAAGCTGCGGGGGAAAAAGAGTAAGTAAGGAGTGTTGGAGTTGGCGCGCGGTGGCGGGTAGTCGTACCGAGAATATTGATGACCCGGGAGCACAGACACATTATTTGTCCTGCAGGAGGTACTGCATGGTCTGCGCTGCGCATCGCCACCCGTCGCGTGGCCCGTCGGCCGTTCTTTCTTGTTTGTTTGTGTGCCCTTGCTCCTTCAATATCAAGTCGCGAAGTGAAATTCGAAAAATAAAAATGGTTCCTTTCGGATTAAAATTATTGAGGAGATAATGTGCGCTGATCTGCGTTGTTTTGTCAATTCGGTAGTCGTCGTGCCCTGTGAAGGTGAAGAATTGCAGATTCTAAGCGCGTGACCGTCTATCACCCTTGGTATCACCTGCCAAGCCAAAGTGCGGTCGGTCCATCACCCACCGCGCTCGGCGTCATGCCAGGCCCCGGCGCCCCGGCGGGACAGTTACGTTGACCCTTTTTTTCCGCTCCGATAAACACCTTTACCTCTTATCACTCTCCACGCCTGCAATGTATTTTTGCTTTCACGAACCCCGCGGAGCAAAAATAAGTACTTCGTTGAAAAAAATAGCGTGTGCGCCAACGCGGGTCGTCGTAGTCGTCGTCGGCTGCTTACCCCGCTTTCCCCTAGTACTCGGGTGTTTCTTTGCACGAGCAACTGTAAAATTTAAAAAAAAAATGAAACGAAGGAAACCAAAAAACAAAAAAAGACAGAAATGACAGAAAAACAAAGAGCAAACAACAAACACAAAATAAAACAAAAACCAAGTTTTTTTTGTTACTTTTATTCAACTATTAAAAGTAATTTGGAAAGAAAAATAAAACAGTCCGTCGGGTCGATGATCGGTCAGCAGCATACGTATGTAACACGGCGCGGTGCGGGGCAGGTGCACCTGCCGGGTCCGGGGCGCAGATAAGCCCCTGGTGATGTATGCGGCGGCAGTCGTCACATGTGCGCCAGCGCGACGCGCGCAAATGGGGAATGAGTGCGGTACATTTTCAGTCCCCCTGCCGCGGGCGCTCCACGCCACGCGATGCCATACGCTCGCGGGTCAGCAGCGCATAGTCCGGGGAGTACGGCAGCCGGCGCGACACATAAATCATTGGATTTCAGACTATTTTTGTTGTTGTCCCGATACGCCGCGCACACACACACATATCTGTGCTTTATCACACATGACTACTGGCGCCACGAGGAAGGGTTAAAGGGTTAGTATGAGAATGATTTCCCATCCAATCGGCTACATAGTAACGTAGCATGGATTAATATAAAGAGCGACTGCTCAACTACTTGAGTTGGTTGCTGTCACACTCACTTGAAACTATTGCAGGGTTTAGACCAAAGACCTATCAACTTCAATTGTCATTAGTTTCTCGTGGCTTTTTAAGGCCTTTGGTTGGCTGATTTGTTTTTACCTACAACGGACAGTATTCAACACATGAGAAATCGAGTCCAGTCTGAACCGCCTCGCCTGCACGTGACCATCACAATCGTAGTATTTTTGTTTCTTTGCGACTCACGCCCATGATTCCGGAAATGGCGCGTTTATTATGCGCCCCTTCCGATGCAGTACAAGCTTTATGCGGCGCCCAGCTGCGCCCCGCCACGACGGCTTTCCTAATTGAAACAGGCTGCTGCTGCTGCGCCCCCGGGCTGCGCTGCGCGGCGCGATGCGGAGCGCCGATGGCCGATGGGCCCGCCCGCCGCCGATGGCCGCCCGACTGGATTCTGATCGGCCCGGGGCCAAAAACTACCGTGTTAAAATAATTTTTAACGACGCCCGCGGGGCTCGGCCTTTCCCCCCGCGCTCGCGCTGCCGGCCCGCTCTGGTCTGCAGCCTCCCCGATAAGTAAACAGCATTTCGATGCACCATCTATCATGGCGCCGGGCCGCCGCGTAAACCCGCTTTGATGCACTCAAAGGGCCTAACTGCAGGCAAAGGCGCCGCCCGCCCCCCCGGAGCTGGTGCTATGGCTGCTGGTGTTCCAAAACACAAAGTGAAACTTACGACTTTTTCGCCCCCTCCTAGAAAATTTCATTCCGGCACAGCAGAGGATCGGGGGCGCCGCCGACTCCGCCTCGACTGCAGCCCAGGTCCCAATTAAACTGCAGGGATTAGTCCAAGTTTTCCAGTTCCAGGCGCCGCAGCAAAGAAGGGAGGGGCGCGCGGCCCGCCTCTAATTCCTACCAGCTCCCGGTCCTGGAATAGCTCCAGGGCACAACTCCAGGGCAGGAGCCCCGACGGCGCCTCGCCAGAGCCAGCTGGGCTTAAAGCTCGTAAGCCGGAGGTTCCGGGGTCCCCGGCCCCGCCCGGCCACACCACACCGCGCCCCGCGGT